GTCTTTAGTTATTTTTAGTTAAATAAGTACAAGTTAATACATACCTATAACGAACATTAATAAAATAAGGGAATTATTTAGTTAGTTCGACCCTACATACAGTCCTCAGGTATTATGGGAGTACTCCACAAGGTGCAAGGGTGCCATCTTGTGTTATTCTGCCGCGTTAGAGTAAATCCAAAAATCCCCGCATGGGTTGGGGTTTTTTCAAACAGTCTGTTCGTAATAGTAAATTGTCTTCTATGTAAAACGGCGCGACCACAAATCACACAAACTTGTCCATTCTTCGAGGAAAACGTGATTCCAGTTCATCCATACTTTTTGACAAAACCGATAATCGTGTTCCAATCACAACGAAGTAAGACGAGTGGAGTATTTGCAACTGCAAGTCCTTCAACCCCCGTAAACCGTTTTGAGGTGGTTCAGTAAGTGCAAGCGCAGGATGGTCGGCAGACTTTGTCATATATGGTTGTACAGTACGATATGGCATATTATTATGGTTACTAATAATATAAAATGAAGGCACTATAAAGTGAATTTATTTAGTTACTTAAAATTTAAGTGAATTCACTTTACATGGGCATATTTAATATGCCCTTTTGTCATATCTTTTGACTATTGACTTACAATTTTACAAAAAGAATTCTCCTAATGTTAACGTTACAAACAGCCCACTAAATTGAGTTGTGTACGCAAACTGTCTAAAAAATACTCATTATCTTAGAGCTTCTTACTCATAGCTGTATAAAATTGGGCTTGTATGGAAGCCAATTAACTAAGGAACCATATTAAAGGAACACAGATGGAATACTTCTAGTAATACTCTTATTTAGAAGACTGACTGACCAAGTGGCCAATTATTGAAAGTGGCTAGTTATACCTTATTTTCCTTTATAAGTATTAGTGTTCTGATTTTTTAATGCTATAAATAAAAAGAAAATGAAATATGTTGTCGCTTCGAGCAACTAAAACAAGACTCAGTGAGCGCGCTTTGAGGTATGGTGCTTTGCTTGATAGACTGACGCGCGATACGTGATACGTTACTGTCTGTGAGCTGTCAAAAACTAGTGCTGAGGCCTCTGTCTGTTCTCTCCCTGCCTGCCTCATCATGATGGTCGGGGCTTGGATTAAAAATCAGTCATACAAATACATACCAGGATATGCAAACTATTATTTTGTTGGTGCTCTAACACAATAGAAAAACAAAAGCTATATATTTTGGGAAAAAGATTTAAGTTGGTTTCAGATCATAGAACGTGCGCCGGTCGAGGAAAATAGCTACCAATTTTTTTTTTCACGGCTATGACAGGTGACGAAAATTGGGTCAATTGTGTAACGAACGACAAACTCCGAAACAAAAGAGCAATTCAGGGTCCTGTATAGGTACATAATATTTATGTGGTACCTACTCAGAATTAACTCTGTCGAGTTTCAATTCAATATATTTATTGTCTCATGTGGTAATTACAAGTTCTTAAGATTTAGTTTCAGATCCAAACATGAACCCTGTAAGGGCACTACAATATCAATATACAAAAAATAAATAAAGTACACATAATTATAATCAATCACAGTAAAATTTTAAATTACAAATACGCAAGTAGGTTTGACACTTGTAAAAGCCTGCCGCAACATACGTGGATTGATAGGCTTTTTGGGGAAGCTGGGAAGGCAGTAGGTACTGATGTCATTCCTCACGCAAAATGCACGATACCATGAGCCTTCATGGTGTCGAGTTGCTGAAAACAGCCCGCCGTCCGTACAACGTTAAGTTGTACGGACTGCGGCTTCCAAGGCTAAACTGATGAATAAATCTGATTCCGCCCGGAAGATACAGGTTCGAATCCTTTCTGATGCCTGGACCGCGAAAGGTTTCTTTCTAATAAAGTTTTCTTTAGATTTATAAAGCTCGCAGTTAAGAACTTAAAATAAAAATATAATAAATTGATGAAATCGAGAATGAAGTTTTGGGGACCTTGGAGAATGACATATATGTCTAATTGTCTACATATACGGTACCTAGGTACCATAAGAAAACTTGAAAACACAAAAACTTACTAAAATAAAGCTTGAAGCGAGTAAAAATAATTATAGCGAATGAAAGGTTGTACGAGAAACCAATATTGTCAAAATTCTACGTACTACCGATGAGGTATCATACAATTAATGTTGTTCGAAGATTCTTTTGATCGACGCGGCGACGCTACTATAACATCATGGCTGGCCATAGTCTAGTCTCGTACTACGACTTCGTCTGCGTATACTAATCGATTGTTCATCAATAAAATATCTTAAAGAGGTCCTTATCTCAATTCCTTTGTCTTTATCTTTAAATATTATCAAAATCAGGGTGTGTGCCATTATTTGTTTCTATGGCTAGATGCTTCACTATAGCAACACCTGTCCTAATTAATATAATAATTTTCTTCCCACCGTTTTTTCTCGTTTCCCTCTTTTTACCCTTCACTTCCTTCTTTTCTCTGGTTACACGTACCTACGCTCCCTTACCCATTTAGTACTCCGACCCTCCAACACCTCGGGTGAAGGTCGAGCTTCACAAGCCTCAAATAAAGAACTTCCTGTTTATGAATCAAATGCCTTTATTTGTGCCGGTAGCGAATGTCTTTAAATGACTTTTACCGCCCCTTGCAGCTCTTGCAGCCGCCCCGGACCATGGTCCTCTTGGCCCTAGGGTAAATACCTGACCCTGTCTATCATTAGACAGGATCATCATCCTCTTCAGCCACCAATGTCCCCACCTTAATGTCCCCACTGCAGGGGCACAGGCCTTCCCTATGAATGGAATAGCAGTCTGCCTATTGCCGCCGGCCGTAACCCACCCACCACGCAGTACATCTAGAGCTTGTAAGACTGATTTGCCGTCGGACAGGATCATAATTTCTTAAAGTTTGTTACTTTCCTGGAGAGGATCCCTCTTGTCGCCAATATGATTCCCATACACTCGGCTTGGATAACTGTATTGTACGGGCTTAAGGATAAAGCGATATGTATATTGAGGTCAGCAGAGAAAACACCCACATCCGTGCTCGATGAGGTTGAGGTTGGAGCCGACGGTGTACATCATGAGAGCCTTGTGTGTTACCTTTGAATTGTTGTCATACATTAGATATATTCTATACTTTTTGTCAAAAATAAAGGCAGGTTTAATTTTTTCGCATGGCGGTTCTATGAGCGGAGTATTTATCCATTCCTTCAGTATGCCGTTGAGATGTCTTGCTCTTTCGAACCTTACCAGTCCTAACTTTTGTGATCTCAGCGCAGTCTTAGCCGCTTCCTGTCTTATGTAGATGTGGAGCGGTGTGATGTTATACATAACTTCCAGTGCTGCGGTTGGAGCCGTACTTATGCACCCAGTCACCAAAGTTGCTTAACTGTCACTATTGCAGGCCGAATGCGCTGATCACCTACCCCACCGGGAGCTGTGCGTGTCTGTGTACTTCGTGTGCCAAAAGGGATGACAATGATTTTCCTATTATGCTAATTTATTACAGCGCGTCACCATTCTCGATACCCAAAGTCAATCGTAATATTAAAAAAATGTCTAACTATGCCATATAGTGTTAAAAACGATATGATTGAAATTGGTGACCAGGGCCCATGCTTCTCCACCACTAATACTGATAACTCACGAGTACAAACTCGTGAGTTATCAAAATCTGACACGCTCTGTTTCCATACAATTTAACCCTTAATTTACCCGGTAGGTCCCTGGGACTCCATTGAAAACTTTCCGCGCTCATAAAATCGTTAGTTTTTGGAATTACAAATTGTGCGTTCCAATACCTTCACGGAGTGACGGTCCGAGTGCGGGGGAGAACAGACGTTGCCGTTCGCGGCTTCTATCGGTAAGTAATCACGCTAGTGGAGTCCGTGGGACTCCAGCGGGGTATCAATGTTATAGTTTTAGTCTATGTACGGTATTTTTAACTGTGATTTTTTTTTACTTTCAGTTGATATAATGGCGTCTCGTAGTTGTATAAACGTCCTTGATGAAGATGCTTGACTTCATATATAGACGACTTCATATATTTGCCATAGTTGTACTAAGCCTGTATGCCTCAGCTATACAAAAAAGTATGCAATAACTGTGACATCAACCGTGACTAGAAGGTCTTGCACGTTTTTCCTCTCTTGATTAAACCATGTTCTTTTTTACTTTTTATAAGAATTGTTTATATTTTTGTTATATTTCTTTGAAGATTACTTTATAATATTGATTTGTTTTTGAAATGTTGACATTAGAAGATAGGTCTCATAATTTTGTTACAAAAAGTGCGATTATCTAAAAGTTCCTTAATAAAAGACTGTAATTTAATGAGTTTAACTAAAAAGTTAAGATAATGTAAAACCAAATACATAAAAAGCAAATTTAACTAGCATTTCATTTAAAAAAATGGTTTATTTCCTATTATATTTACGATTTAAAACCCGGGAGTCCTGGGGACTCCACCGGGTAAAATGTGTATGTATGAAGTCACCGTGTAAACCAAGGGTTAAAGTACATGCGACGTCTACTTCAATCAAGTCAGGTCTGTGGTCTTGCGTGACCCAATCTACCTATTCCTTCCATAGGAAAAACCTGTACCCCAGCAGTGGGGACATTACAATAGGCTGATGATGATGAACAGTGTACTGTGTAATAATGTAGAGTAATAATGTTTATTACTTCAGATTAGACCTAAATAAAAATCTAGATAAACCAGTAACTTAAGAAAAACAAAGTAACATATTCTTAAATTTTCATGTGAGCGACACATCATTTACTCTATATTTATTGAAAGAAAAGGAAAATCATATTAAAGGCATTCCAAGCTTTGGATCTGTAAAATAATGGTTACTTTGATTAACATCTAAACAACAAAAACAACTACTGTAAATATGGTAAAGAGCAATAAAAGTTTAAACATAAACAATTCATAGAGTAAAAATAAAACAATCACAAAAATTCATAAAAACAATTTTATTATAATACAAATAAATTATACATACTAACTTTATAACCCTGATCAAGGTAAATCTACTTGATTTTCAAATTGTATGGCCAATATATCCGTCAGCCGCAAAATTGCTGAAGGCATTTTAATACTAGCTGGAGTTTCTAAATCCTTAACAAGCACCTCAGAGCCATCCGACTTCCATTTTGACAATGTAGCCTGAAGCATTGATTGCTCATATGTCAGGATTTTAACAGGCTCACCTTAAATAAATAATATCAGTTGTTTATATAGTTGTATGAATATTTTAATAAATTGAGTAACAAACATTATCCAGCTGTAATTTAGAGGCATCACTTTCCAAAGTACACTGCAAACAGGAAGCAAGGTAATCAGATTTCTAGTTAGTAATTTAATTGACTAAAAGTAACCAAGTCCTGAATAAAAAACTTTGCAAGAGATATTCAGCTTTGTTTGACATAGGCTGCATTATTCGATACATTGTTAAATGTGACTATAGTTAAAATACTATAGAAATAATCAGGGGGCTTAAGGCCCGTTGTTTGATACATAGTTTTATGTGACTAATATGCCATTGCTATTTCAAATACATACTAAAATACTTTTACTTACTTCTTAATTTAACTGTAGTCACTTTTAAGAATGGGCCCTTAGTAGAGCGTCTTTTTCTATAGCTTAATTAATAACTTTTGTGTGTAAATAATATAGGGTGATGGGTAGTGAGTTTAACCTAATCTACACTTTGTATCAATATTGCTTGAGACACTGGCCCAGTACTGCGTGGGACTATGGGTTTGAGTATCCTTAAAATCAGAACAACAATTTATGTAAGAAACAAGTTTATTAAACTCACCAAGAAGTTCATTGACTGATAATAAAAAGTCTTCGCGAAGTTTTGCTCTGATTTCTTGTTTATTATTTTTTATTGTAACAGCATCATCAGGCGACATTTTATTTTCCTATTTGAAAAATTGTAAAGTACTTGTTTGAATAAAACAGTAAGAAGTAATTTTTTTTTTGTTTGTGGCTTTTTTCTAGAGATGTAACGACTCGACTTTTCGAACCGGTTCAAACCGGTTTGAGCATGGACCGAGTTGAATCGGTTAACGTCTTCGTAAACCGGTTCTACCGTGGCATTCATTCGTATCGCGCTGCGCGCATGCGCGCCTGTCAATTCTTGTTTATGCCGCCATCCACAAATCGCGTGCGGCTCCTGACGTGCTTTACCGACCCTAATAAAACTTGACCGACCAATACAAACCGACTTACAGCAGAGGATACGGTTAGCGCGCATCGTCAATTTAAATACAACAGCCATAACCGACTTACCGACCGAACCGAAATGAAACGGACTCTGGTAGATTTGACTGACTTGACGGTGTAATTTTGTTTTCATTATTATGTAATATGCGACGTAATTGCCCAGCTTCTAAAAAAATAGACCAAATATTATTCCTAAATAGTTGTAAGAAAACTTTTTAATTAAGTTGTTTGTACCAAATTAAGTTTCTACGACTCAAATGATTTTACAAAAAAAGGTTACGTATTTATTATATTGTTGATTATTAAAATTGTATTTTATTCTCAAAGTTAAGAAGTACGGTTTTATGTAATTAATAGAGTTTATATATTTTTTTGTAATTTTTTAAACACGGTATTACATAGATATTTGTTCATTTTTATTTTGACATTTTTAATTCTGATTATTATTATTTGTTTTCATATTTTAATTGTTATTTTTCAATTACCTTTAAATATTTGCACGATGTAATATCAACAAAATATGTAGAATTAAAAAAAATAGCGCCTGTTGTTTCGTAAGTTTCATTCGTCAACTCGTCAAACGGTTCAAACCGGTTCAAACCGCGGTTTACTGAAAAGGCGGTTCGGTTCGGAAACCGATTTGCATGTATTACTAACCGATCAAATCCGGTTTGTCAAAATTCAAGACCGTAACATCACTACTTTTTTCATAACAAAACATTCAATCAATTTGACGTTTGTTTGTCATTGTCTTTTTTTTTAATTTTTACGGCCGATTTGTCATTGTCGTTTGTCATAGCGATGCGCGACTTCGATTAATACTAATACTAATCATTCGACTCAATGAATCATTCTACTAAGTCGACGGCGTTTTATATCTTTCGACTGGAGTCGAAAGTATCGAGCGGCGCGCGTCGCACGCAGCCATATTGGACATTAGTATTACTAATTAGTAGTCGTCATTCGAATAATAACATTGGTATATTAGAACAATTGCCTTTCGAGTAGCCAAATTAGTAATAACGAATTAGTCGAAAGGTAAAATCTTTCGTAGTCGCGCATCGCTAGTTTGTCAGTGTTGTCACTCTACGTCAAAAAATTATAACTTAAAAGAGAAGGCAAAAGATACTGAATACGTTCAGCCTCATTGAATGTTTTCCTTTTTATCAAAAAAACGAGTTCTCTTTGTCGGTAAAATTTAAGGAAGTAATTGTTATTTTGATATTATTTCTCTACCGCCGCTCCTTTGTTAAGGCTGTAGTGCTATTTATTCTGTGCTTTTAGGGATTTTTTTAACACTAGAAAATCTACAGAGATCTTTTGTTCTTACTCACTCTGTATAATTTAGTAAATTATTTATATTCTTTCATGGACATGGAGACATCATTGGACATTGATAATGTATCCATTGGTAAATCACATATTAGTACACCAGAAAATGCATCTGTGCATGTATGAACCTCAGAAAGTCAATTGATATTCTTTCATGTTAATTTAAGGAGCATTGGTTGTTCTACGAATTTTAATAATTTTCTTTTGCTATTGAAAAGGGTTAAATTGAATAGTGACATGATAATTTTATCCGAGTGCTGGTCAAGCATATGTCCCTTCCTTCCACAAATATATATTTTGGGATAATATATATATATGATATATTATCGTATCTGTAACTGAAATTATAGCAACAAAAATGATGGACTAGTTTTCTATAGGTACAAAATATTATATAAGTAACCAAAGTGAAGGAGTCAAGCATAACCGATGCTAACTGTTTGACCGTGGAAGTCCCAAATGATGTTGTGATTGTAGTAGTCTAGCGTTCTCCATCCTGTAGAAATATTTATAATTTTTTCAATGGTTTGGATGCTCTTCTGCTGATGCTGCGTTCTTTTAAAACTTTAGCTCTAATCGGTGACCTTAATATACCAGGAACCCAGAAAAATATGGACCAAAACTCAAATTCTTATCGCAACTTGTTAGCATCTCATTCTATATTGCCTACGCATCACATTCCAACTAGCATAAAAATTGTCTCGATCATGTAATCCTTAAATCAGATAAAAAATCCGTTACTCTAGTTTTAGATGCTTATCTTACTGATCACTCTCGTTTATTATTCTGCACTGAGACGAAGAGCAGGGCAAAAATCTACCCAAAAAGTTTACATTAAAACATCTGAACATCCCAGCTTGTGTGAATGACATTGAAAATATAGATTTTTCTGATGTTACTAACAATGTATATGCTAACACATGCGATAGCACTTTATTCATAAATTATCTACCGCAGTCGAAGCCAATACAACCATTATATTTCTAAGAGAAAGCGCATCTCCAAGCCATGAATTACTCCAGGATTGCTTCGCTGCATTCGGCAAAGAGACAGAGGATTTATCCTAAAACTAAAAAGCATGCAAGCAATGACGTTTTAAGTTTATCATATATATTTTCATTTTAAAGAATTCCATGTAGAATAAACCACAGATATAATAAAAAATTAAAACATTGTGATTTATCGGAAAAAATGCGGTTTCAAATTGACAATTTAAATTTTCGCGCGAAAACGAACCTATGGTTGCGATGACGTCACTCCTGTCTGTCACTGGTCGTACTTGGTCGTCGCTGGCTTTAAATATTCATACTTTTGCATATTTTTTCAACTTTCGAAATATTTTTATACTATTTTTATCCATCAACATCATGTGATCATAACAATACCACTAATATTCCGAAAAAAAGCCGTGTTGACTCATGTTTTGTGCCAATCTACTTCAACAAAGTTTCGAAATAAATTGTTTTTGACTGGAACTTCTGACCCAAAACTGAAAAAGCTGCGAAGAGAAATGACAATTATTCTCCAAAGACCATTATTCGATGCTGTGAAGATCACTTTGACGTTAGTCGGCGAATATACTTGTTATATGCTTAATTAATCTGCTTGTACGTAAAAACGCATTAGTAACCTACCCAATACTTACAAAACCTGTCTATAACATATTTTTGATTTTACAGTTGGAGAATGACGTCGAAAATTAGATAAAGTTTAAAATGTGTGGCACAATCTTCACATTGGCAGGACTGAACCAAGCTTTGCGTTTCATTTAAAATAACTGTAACACGATAACCTTCTTTACGTACTTTATGCTCCGGAGAACTCGACCTTTTACTGTACATAATTCTCCATCTCTTTTTCTTTTATTTGGACATAGCGATTGCATTATCACCGTAAGATTTGTAGAAGCCGCTGAATAAAATACGAAGTTTAACAACTACGATTTTTACATACCGTAGTAATTTAGTCCCTTTCATTTCTACACTTAAAAACTCTGCACTTTGGACAAAAAAAGTTATAACCATGTCAACACTAACTCTTGGTAAATTCCTGGAGTCTACTTTGATAAACGCAACTTCCATTTTTATTAAATGTAAAAAAAACGCAATTAATCTTCCCATAAAATAATATTTACTTTAGCAACCTTATCCTCAAAGAAGTTGTCATAACAAGAGTGACGTCACTAAACGCTGATTGGTGTTTTAAAATACGTTCTGTTTCAAGTATTTAAAATTCGTAATAATTGTTAAAAAACAACATTATGTAAAATAAAAACGTTGCAGTGCCAATTCTTTTATATTTTTTTAACATTTTAATCATAAAATTTTCATAAATATTATATTATGCATCTTCCCTAAACAGTGTCGAAAGATCCTTTAAATGCTGTTAACTTTGTGAATACGTATTTTGCTAGTGTTGAAAAAGTTTAGCATCAAAAATTACCAAAGGCTCTGTAGAAGCTTCTCATAACTGTCCTACCCTTACTAGTGTACCCCTTCATCATTTGCCTGTTAATGTCCCCAAAATTCAAAATTCAAAATTCAATATCATTTATTCAGTCTAGGCTGTTACAAGCACTTGTGAATGTCGAAAAGCTACGCCATCGGTTCGCAAATCTACGGCGGGAGACCTTGTACTGAGAAGAACCGGCAAGAAACTCAGCAAGGGCTGTTTTTTTCTCCCTGTATTATATACAGAGTCGTCAATTTGAAAAATGAGTTCAATATGAGATAACCCATGAAGTCACTTTCCATTACAAATGTAAATGATAAAACAATTATGACTATAAAATAAAAAATATAAAAAACAGATTTAAAAATGAAAAAAAGTTTAGGAATGCCGTGTCCCACTGTTTAGGCATAAAAACAAATGTACCATTAAAGTTAAATACAACGATTAATAGTACCCAATGTAGCAAGAGCAGACTCATCTCCGCTGGCAGCACCCGTTCACGAGCATGACGCATGAACCAGCCATCGCTTCGCTCAACCATTTTTTAGGGAACGTAACGACCCGCCTCACACGACACCGCCGAAGAGATTTTTAAGAGAGTATGACTACCCATAACCACATATGGATACTAGATAGCAAAAAAAAAAAAAAAAAAAATTAAGTACCAGTGTACATTACTATAAAAAACTATAAACACAACTGTAGGACACATGCATGTGGTTACCTAAACACTAGTGTCGACTCTGCCACTACCCTCCAAACCCAAAACCAAACCCAACATCAGTGCCCCCCCTTCACTCTTTATAGAGAATGATAAGGATACACCGCTGCAAAACCAAAGTTCAGGTCTAGAGAACCATGCCAGAATCCACACCACCATTAAATCTTTATCTCAGAAATAATAAATGTTCACCTAAATTTTTTGTTTCTGATTGCCGTGCCACACAGTATAAATACAATTACAAATAAAATTTAACTTAAATAATTAA